GAACGGTTTGAACAACCGAATTTCAGATCTATTTGAAACGATCAATCTGAGCGCGTTCTGTGCATTCGGCTGTCTTACTATGATCGAACAAATCTATAATATACCTTCACGTGATATGGGTGATGAGTGTCGAAGAATGCACCCGAGGCTCGTCGAACTAGTTGTGGTTCAGCAGGCCACCTGCGAACGTTCCTATTTCCGAAGAATTGCTCAACCATCAAGGGAAGAACAACAGGTAGGACGACGATTCAAACAAGAAATCGTCTATCACAGTACATCCCGTACATATTTATAAAGTCAGTGGAAAGGATGAAAAGAAACGCAATGACAGAGTGGTGAGAAGTGTCATGGCACGAAAAGTCGAATTGCTTTAAAGTCTACAGGGCTCGCCACTTCGTGCATTTATTCCAAAAACATCAGCATATATGTATAAATCTCTCCCTCACTCACAAAATAGATCAATTAAATGGGTAACTAAAAGCGTTTCGAACTACGTGGTTGGTCGGTTTCAGAACTGGGGCAACTGAAGATACTCCATGTCTTCCTTAAGATCAATGTGATGTCAGTGTCAGTATTCAATTGTATCATCAAATGTTGTCAGTTCATCAAGGTAGCACACCTTAGTCTGTCGGAACTTCTGTCGACATAAAGTGAGCTGACAACACTGAGACAATGCAAACTTTTATCGTGTGGTTCGGTAACTATCCACGATTCTTATAAAACTTGGTATGAATATGGACAGTTATGATGTTCACTTTCAATCGTAGTGTAATTCAAACTGGAGTGGTACACCAAGAAGTAGTCAAGTCAATGGCCTAGCAACAATCTTCTCCACAGAATTAACTAATCACAATTGTAGTGTGCTACTTAAATTAATTAAAAAGCACAGAGCACATTCGTTCATGTGAAGACGAAGAATAGGAAGAAGAAGAAGAAGAAGAAGAATGTTTGTGCTCCCTGTTTGTTGGTGGTGCAACAGTCAAGATTCATATCTACAGCATCAGATCAGGAGTCTGATGCACACTGGAGATTTTCAACCAGTGAGAGGAATGACCAACCACATTAGTTAGTTCTGAAAAGTTGGATAGTGGAATGCACTTCTCATCAGGGAGAATCCATATTGGCACACCGAATTTATCTGCAAATAATCCTATAGATAATCCGTGATCTTATCTCATAGAAAATGGATAATTGGTGTCAATAAATGGACATGTGACATGATGGCTGGATTTAAGATTTTCATGAAACATCAAATTGACATTAAGTGGAATAGTTAGGATGTCAATAGAGAGTTGACCTTATGCGTCGCGTCAAAAATAGTTCACAAGGCACACGGACATGAATCATCCTTGCAAAGACATTTCACTCGCATTCTCACCTTGTCAGATGTTCTCCCAAAATGCGCCAATTACCCTCAAGTTTAATCCACATCCCTATCAACTTGTCAAACTTGTTTAGAAACGTTCAAGCAGATGTCGTTGGACTGATAGAATTCGTCCATTGGAACTTGTGAATCTCTCCAATCTCTCAGTCATACACGTCGGTAATAGTTCAAAGTACTGAGCCACACATTTCCAATCATTACTTAAGTTGGGCACTTTTCTAACAGATGGGAGATGTTCTGTCAGAGTGCAATCACACAAAGCACTAACAAACTTGAAAACTTGTGAGGAACAAGATAAGTCTCCTTTACTTCAATTACGCTGCCAATCCATCGTTTGCAAATATCAGTCTATTTCACTTAATGTTACTTAGAGATTTATCGGATAATAATGCCTTGAAAGAGGCCTTCTTCCACATGTGAGATTTGGGAGTCTCATCAGGAAGGAAGTTGAAAATATCCTGAGTTGGAATCTAATACAACCAATCTTACACCATTCAACTGAATTCGCCTCAATTTCCTTCATCTCACATCATATCACATCACAACACACATTCGCATTAATTATTTCCATTTCTTGGTCAAAGTGATTATCGAGATTTGATTAGTCAAAATCCCTCAAATCAGTCAACATCTAACACCATCTGCCAAGTCTTAATGGATGACCAGCATTTGGGCCATAATGAGTTCACAAAAAGCCTGAACACCCATTCACTGAAATATAGCCAGAAACAGCCGGCCAATCAACTAAGAGAGTATCACTTTGACGTCATCAACACGAGATCACTGGAAGTGGTTGGGTAGATGGCAGAGTTGGCAGCACCCGGTCTCTTTTAACGATCCCCTGTGAGAAAATCAATCCACCAATTTAGAATTTTAACGAGTCTGTATGATTTACTGTTTATGAGGAGATTGGGTGAACTACTTGCTAATGCGTTAATTTCATATTCCATTCTTCCATCAAAATATGGTCGGTTATGAGCGTCCAATTGAAGGTCCGGTTCTCGGGTTCAATATCAGTTTGAATAAATGCTAAACTAGTAAATTAGTCAAACTTATTAATTAATTTATAATTTAATCAGGCCTGAACTTCCACAAACCATACGAATCTTGAACTCACTTACTTTGTGCCATTAGGAAGTATTTATATATTTCAAATGGCGGGCTTTATGACACTTATCATTTGCCCTTTAGCTGACTTCGGGCTTCACAGAGGAAAGGAGGAACATCAAAATGAGAAAAAGTTGAGAGGGAGGACAGAAGAATGATTTAAAGTTGTTAAAAAGACAGACAGACACAAGGGCAGAGAAAAGGTAGGATAAGTATGGTGGAAGTGATCGAATAAGACATACAGTGGGATCATGGTAGTTTGAAATCAGAAGTCGACTGCCGGTTTATAGACTTTTTTGCCGTATGAGGGTACGTTGCCCAGGATGCACTACGTGGAGGTAAGTCTATCGCACAACCCTCATTAGGAAATATCAAAGTGACTTCTAAGCTACAGGCTAACATTTTAAATGAAGCACCAATTTGTTAAGTACAGTCGTTCTAATCATGGGGACTATTGTGGTATTATTAATTAAACATTTCAATCCTAATTCGATTTAGCACATTTGCACATATTGAAGTTCTGCTTGAGATTCGAAACATCTTTGCACTCATTTGCAGTTGCTTGGGTAAACTAGCTCGTGAGTCTATTAAGAAATTCTCCGAATTAAACGCATATTGTTCATTCCAATTTCTTAACACAAATTCGAACTTCCAATTCCTAGCTTTGTCAATTCTCCTAGATTACACAATCATAGAGGTCTACAAGAACGTACATCAAGTATTTGTCGGTAACTTTATTTAAGCATAACTAAAATTTCTGTCAAATGACAGATTTTATGATAGTTATCATTAGTCCTTTAGTTGGCTTCTAGCTTCACAGAGTTGATGAACTGCAAAGTCACAACAAGTGGAGAGGGACGGGGAACAGAAGAGTAATTCACAGATGTGTAAGGGGCAGACAGATAAACACAAAGGTGGAGAAGAATAAAAGGTGAGAACCGTGTTAGTGGGCGAATATGGCACACAGTGGGGTCATGGTAGTTTGAAGTCAACTGTCAACTTTTAGACTTTTTTGGCCGTATGAGTATGTGCTGCCCAGGGTGCAACACGTGGAGGTAATTCTATCGCCCACAAAATATACCACTAACATTGAATTAGCAAGAGAGAACTCACTGCAAAACTAAACAGTGGCAAGACTCAGACATCCAAACCACATCCTAATTCCCCAACAGAATCGCATCGTCACGTTCCATAAGGAACTCTTACTCCCAGCATACTCAACACCAACACACAACAATTACTACAGATACGCTTCACCTAGGAATGGGTAATTCATACGAATCAAGATTCAATGTCAAATGAAGCAGCTTACTGCAACCATTTCACCACATCCAAGCACAGCTAGAGTTGAAGTTATTCCATCACAAACTGTCCCAAGTGATCACAAGTGCGCAGTTCTCCCCCAATTACGCACTCCATTATTCCTAATAAACAGCCACGTNAAACAACGAGCTTCCGGAATTTGAACCTCTTGGCAGAAGTTCATGCACAAATTCTCGTTCACAATTCCGTCACTGGCTGCGAAGAAAGCCAGCACGTGGGAGATAAAGTGACGCTCACCATCATTCAGTCTCTCCCAGTCAGTGAGATCTTTCGTCAAGTCAACCTCCTCCACGGTCCAGAAGGAAGCCACTGCCTTCTTGTAGAACTCCCATATATCGTGGTATTGGATGGGCATCACAACAAACCTACTGGGGTTCGGCTCAAGGAGGGGTTCAATGGCCTAGTTAGGAAATACGAGAGCATTAGATGCCAACATAAACTCAATAGCAATGCTACACCGACCCTTACCACATTCTCCTTGTCTTCATTCGCCATATCGAAGATAAGCACTTTCGAATTTAACCGAACGCAAAGATGCCGCTCAATTTATACCACAATCACAGGGTCATCTATTGGAATACATTTTAAACATTTAAACACATTTCATTCATTTGCATTGACACTGACCATGAGCAAATAATTGCATTTACTATGTCCACCAACTTTTCAACCATTTTATTCTTTTTCCATGATTGAATTAATGAAGGCTTATCGTAAATAATGTGCTCTGAAATTGATTATTAGATTGAGAGTTGGAATGAACACATGAAATGCCGATCGTGCCTTGAGAATTATTGATTTTTCTAATCATAATTCAGTTTACTTTGGCTCCTATTTTACGGATTCTGGTGTACTTTGTTTCTCTGAGTAGTTCATTTTAGTTTGTCACTTACAATCGGTATTTCTATTTAGTTTTGACGATATATGTGCAGTGCATTTTCGGTTATTGCTTTGTGGGACACATCATCAATGACCAAATAGAAATCCTGCTTTAGAACATTACTCAGAAATATTTTAGCTATTAATGTTCACACGAATTATGCTAGAATTATCTGATAACTAATTGCTTTGCCAAACTGAACACTTCGCTATTAATATACGCATCGAATAAACGTATTCCTTGCTACACGTCTGTTTCCCCTATAGCTGGGCTATAGCTTAGCTTGTTCTGGGAGTCTAGCTAGATGTTGGAGAATCTGCCATAGAGATTTCTGAGTCAGTCAGGCTTTACTAGCGTAGCAATCCGCTACAACTTTTTTGTCCATTGACTGACGTCCTATAATTTTTTGTTGAACTTCGTTGTGAAAATACCGTTATAAAATTAGATGACTTTGTTGTGAAGTTAGAAGATCATTGTTTTGAAGTTAGCAATTTAATAATTTAATCTGTTCCTACTCCATGTCAACTTCAATTTTAGGGTTTTGCATGACTTTTCCTCACTTTCCGATTATTTTTCTTCATCTTTCATATTCCCACAAACACGAGACCCACTGCATTTTAAACGACCAATTTTTACTAATTAAGCCAACTTTTAATGACAATTAACTATTCAATCAGCTGACTTTCCACACATTCTACTCCGTATTTGCTGGAAGTTTCGTCTTTCTTGCAACAAATTGTTTACACAGTGTGTCTTCCTCTTGTTAGGTGTGTCAAGTTATTATCCAACTTGCCGTGTTTCATTGATACAAAATATAAAAAGTTGTGGATTAAATAAGAATAACACGCTTCGAGTGATGAATGTCATCGATACTCAGCTTTACTGTCCATCTGAACTGAATATGCACTGACATTTGCGCATTTACAATATTGAAGTTGTTATTCAAGGGTTCGTATATTTGGTATTACCAGTTGATGTGAAGTTAAGTGCACCTCCACTGGTGGAAATACTAGCAGTCATGGATAACTTCAAGTGGCTGTTGGAATGATTCACACTGTGATTTTCATCCTAGTGGATGAGCTCACAATGGCAAATGCCAAAACATCTTCGTTCAGATAGGTCTCTTTGATGACCTTAGCTCATTCACTGAATTTACTGAGGAGGGTTTATGACTTGAGTAGTTGGGTGTAGTTGTAATCTTCGATCCCTATTCATGTGGCCTAGAGGATGTTTCGAGAACTCGGGTTGGCCTTTCCCTCTTAAAACACGGTCGCATTTGTCTATCCGAATACATTTCCAGACGAGATGGAGGGCATTTGAAGAGAAATAACCTCAGCGGATTGATTATAAATTATTCATAAATGGCCACTTTTAAGAATGAGGTTAAGTTACATTTCACTTCTCAATTTAAAAATTAAATGTGTTATTCATTTGATTGATTTGGCCACAATGTGTCAATTTAAGTGTGCTACGCGAGAGAATTTGTGAAATTGTGCGCCTCTTGATTAAGATGGCAGCATTTTGACATTTCAAAATGTCTTTTCAAAGGCCAAATTCAGGCAAGTTTGTTAAAGTCTTGTTGGAAATGGAAATGGGAGCCTATAGGACACGACTTAGAAAGTGGTACTATTTTGTGACTGTTAGTCACATTTCCAAAATAGTAAGGAAAAATATCCTTCTAACCTATTCCATACGCTCTTTATTGAACCTATTCTCTTGAAAAATGTGTATTCTTATAAAATACAATTTTTTATTATTTCTCGATCTTGTCTGCCGGAATAAGGTATTAGATTGTTCAGTTTGAAGGTTAGGTTATGGACTCAAAGACGGTGCTACCCATACAGCTTCCTCCACTTGTACCTGATTTTAAACTATTGGGTGGGCAACTAAGTCATTGCCGTTTTTGTTGACGGATTCACTCTATACTTTCTTTTGTTTTGTTAACGTGGCCAGAGCATCTAACCTATATTTTTTTCTTACTGTATGGGCTTCTA